ATCCCAACCTTGTTTTCCCTTTCTGGCATCGTCTTTCCCATACACCACACCTCCCTTCATCCTCTCATCCACTCCCATTCTCTTGATGGCTCCCGTTCCTTTCCTGCATTCCAACCTTCCTTTACTTCCTCCCCTCCCTCCCCTGGCATCGTCTTTCCCATCCTCCACACACACACCTGTGCAGGCTCGGATCTCACCTCCCCACTGGACAGTAAGCTTCTCCCGCCAGCAACAGTGCTCACTAAGGGGACAAGGAAAGAAACGAAGGGAGCGTTTACAAAAGAGCCAGTGACCCTGTTCGTGTTTGAGAAAGGCCGGGAGGACGAAGGGTGCGGGTTCGAGCTGGGCTTTAACGTCAACTTCACCTTTGCGCTTTCACCCCAAGGCAAGGCTGCCTCCAACGGGTTTGCGTTTGTGGTGTCGGCAACAACCACGGTGGGGAACAGCAATGGCGTGGGGTATGGTGGGATGGACCCTCGCAGCATGGCCATCGAGTTTGACGTGCTTCAGAACAGCCAGCACGGCGACATGAAAGATCAGCACGTGGGGTTGAACATCAACGGGCAGGACAAGTCCTTCGCAGCTGTGAAATCCCCGTTCATGCTGACCAACAAGCAGGTATACACGGCATGGGTGGACTACGTACCTGGACTTTCCAGCACCATCCAGGTCTTCCTGGCAAATGGGGCAGTGACGGCAGCAGGGAAGCCAGCGAAGCCGTTGCTGGAGAGGCGGGTGTCGCTGTGTGAGGTGCTGCGGGGAGGGGAGGAGGCGCAGCTGCAGGCGTTCTACTTTGGCTTCGTGGCATCCACCACTGTCAAGCCGTTCATGAGCCAAATCATTTTCAAGTCTGCCATACACGCAGGTAAAGACACTGTTTGTTTGTCTGTTTGTTTGTTTGTTTTGTTTTGTTTTGTTTTGTTTTGTTTTGTTTTATCATATATATTACTATTATTACAACTATTATTATTGTTATTATTATTATTATTATTATTATTACTATTATTATTATTATTATTATTATTATTATTATTATTATTATTATTATTATTATTATTATTATTATTATTATTATTATTATTATTATTATTATTATTATTATTGTTGTAGGGCCGGCATCCAATCTTTTGCAGATACCTTAAATATCTAGCCTTTTTTTGTCAGTGTCATCCTTGAAAAGCCACCAGTAAGGCGACAATCTGCGAATTCCTTAGCAGAAATTCGAGATGACAACCCTGTGCTGTGCCCTGCGCATCCCCCCTGTTGCTTGGACTTTTCATTCTCCCCGCATGCTGAGACATTTGGCTCTTAGATAAGGCATTTTGCGAGTTGACCGGTCAAGTGGGAGAATGCACTTTCAATTGAGCAACCGCATGGATTGGAAGCATCTGTATCACCATGGAGACATTTTGTGCTGTGCTATTCCTACCATTTGCATTTTTTTCCAACTCTCTGATTTTTTTTCCGCAGACCTTCCACCCCCACGGGCGCCAGTCGCCGTATCTGCAGGCAAGTAGCCTTTCTCCTTCGCCCCTTCTCCTGTGTCCCTTGTCCTTGCTAGAAACCTGTCTTACCTGGCTCTCACAAAGGCTCATCCTGTTGCTCAAATCAATCAGGTTCCTTCCTCTCACGTACAATGCTTAGAAGCCTTCCATGAAACTGCCAAGAAGCGGGTGATACACTGGGTGGCAGCCTGCTTGCCCTGCCTTGTCTTACCTGCCTGTCAGCTGATAGCGCTCCTGCTTAAACTTACTGCCTGTATTCAGCTTCTGGCGAGCTCTCTAGTCGTCAACCTGCTTTTCGTCAAGCACATTGAAGCATCTCCCTTTCAGCTCGATCCTGACACATTTCACCACCCCGTCCTCCTCACCCCACTTCTCTGCCGCCCTCTCTCTGTCGCTTTTCTTGCCATTACTTGCTCCCTCTCAACGTACAGCCCTGGGCCTGAATGTGACTGTGGACACATATGCACCGGTACGGGCGAGCCCCTTCCCGCGCTATGTGAGTGCGGACTACCGGGTTTCGGCGGGGAAGCAGGACTCGTGGGTCTTCAGGGACCTCCACTCCTGGGACTCCGTGCCCTTCCTCAGCTGGCCCGTCAAGAACCAGGCCGACTGTAGTGAGTGCAATCTTTGTCATCTTCTGTGTACTTCATTACTGTTTCTCCATCCGGCTCCTTTGGTTGGGCCTTCCAAGCGTTTACTTCCATTTTAGATTATAATCCGCATATGTTCTTTTGTTCTCTGTCTTCAGATGCATGCTGGGCGTATGCAGTGGTGGCGAGCATAGAAGCAGCATACGGCATCGCAACGAATGCAGAGGCGCCACGGCTGTCAGTGGACTCGCTCTTTGCAGCCATGGGGCTCACCTCTCAAGCTGACAAGTGCACCGCTGGAGGCTCTCCGACCGATGCCTTTGAAAAGCTTCTCGCTCTGGCCAAAGGAGGAGTGACCATGGCCGACAATCCGGTATGGCGAGCACATACACTAGGGATACCAGGTAGGTATGGAGTTGGTGTTTTCATGTGTGAATACTGGGTGCGTGAATGGTTCACTTAATCTTGGTTCCTTATAAAAGGCTAAGTAGCGTACTTATATTCAGTATCAAACAAAATGCTAAGTAGCGTGTCTACACTTGGTACAAAACATAAGGCTAACTATTGCACCTACATTTGGTACCAAATGTAATATATATGGTTAACTAGCGCGTTTTAAAAAGCACAAAACGAGGGTTACGTAATGCATTATACTTGATGCAACGATCAATTAAGTATGTATTTAGACAGGATACTCTGCACATGGTTGAGCAATTCACTTTGATTTAGTGCAAGGCATAAAATTGAGTAACGTGCTTACTTACACTTAGAACCAAACTCAAATATTTTGTAGCCCGATATTGGTTCATATAAGACAATGAAAACAAGTCACATACATTTAACACCTCATAAAGGTGAGTAACATATCTTCACTTAGTACCAACGATATGGGTAAGTAACGTACTTAAACTTACTACCACTGGTAGGTTTCTGGGTGGCACCCATTATGGTAAGCAATGCATTATTCTTAGTACCAGCTATAAGAATAAGTTATGACGTAAGCCTAAGTAGCACATTTACCATTAGCACCAAGCATATGTGAAGTAACTTACTCTCACTTACTAATTGGAATTAACATGCTGTAATTAACATCTTCACATTTACCACCGAACACAAGCATTTGAAGCTAAATTACACTTTCGTGGTGTCGGCAACAACCACGGTGTTGCTTGGGACAACGTGCCTGGTTGATATCATTACTCTAGTGTTGCCTTTTTGTTTCCTGTTAGCGGCATGTTCGGTCTGCTTGTCTTACTAGCGTGCCTTCGTACGTCCCAACTGCCACATGTGTATAAATCGCAGGGGAAAAAGTATCCTATTCAGGGATTTGAGCGCGCATCGTTCAAGGGGTATGTGGGGCTCATGCTGGCAGTGCAGCGGCAGCCAGTGGTGGTTCACATCGAAGCCTCTGCTGCCACGTTTGCTGAATATGATGGGGTGCGTGCTGGGCTGGAGAGCCGTATTTGTATAATGGGGGGTTGACTGCTGCTCAAGTGTGTATCCAAATACCTGTGTACGTCTCATGTCATAGGTCTTCCGTCACATTCCTGTTTTGCCGTTCTTCTTTTTCTCTGGTCTGTCTGCCAGACGTTCAAGTACCAGGACCCTGCCTGCTACAGCGGCAACCTGAACCACGTGGTGCTTGTAGTGGGATATTTCATTCTGAGGGATGACGGCAGTCAGAGTCGCATTGCTCCGCCGTTTTGGATCGTCCGCAACTCGTGGGGCGAAGATTGGGGAGACAGGGGCCACATGCGCGTAGATATTCAGGGAGGGGATGGCGTGTGTGGCATCAACGTGCTGCCTGGCATCTACCCCATTGTTAAGAGTGAGTCAACTACCCCATTGTCAAGCCGTATCCCGCTCTCTCAAAAGTCAGCCATGTTCAATGGATAAGCACTCATTCATTAATGAGGGTCTTTTACTCTTTAGTGCTGCTCACTCACACTTTTTTAGCGCTACAAATCATTACTGAGTGAGCAGCACTAGAGAGTGAAAGGATCCTTTGTCACTACTCCTGTGACCAGTAACCGGTCGTCCTTTTCTGCCTTCCCGTTTTCACAAGAAGCCATTACAACTATGTCTCAAGTTCAGCCTATTCTCAATCCTTCACTCCTCATTCCTCCACCCTCGTTGTCGCCTGGCAGTCCCAGGAGATCCGTGTGGCAGCAAGAGCTACAAGGGCGATGGTGACTTGCAGCCCAGCATGAACCCGTGTGGCCGATTCACATGCAAGGCCAACAGCAAGACCAACAGCAACACATGCACTTGCACCCTCCCTTCTGAGACCAAGCAACCCTTCGTGCAAGCTGCCAACGGTTATGGCAACACGTGCGCCTATTGTGAGATAGACGGACCCATGTAATGCAGCATCATACATGGTGCTTGTGTGCTTGTTATTCCATGTGTTTACAGAAATACCGGTTTTCATCATTCTTCTCCATCCTCTCCACCAACCATGGCACTGTGGCAGTGGACGTGTGTGGGCCGTATACTTGAAGCATCCGTTATCCTTCAACCCCTCGTTATCATCTCGTTTCCCTCTTCCACCCTTTGTACCTGGCATGGCAGTGGACGTGTGTGGGTCGCACTTCAAGTACCCCTGCTTAACTCTGTAACCCTCTTTGCCCCACCCCTCTCTGCTACCCTCAGTGGACGTGTGTGGGTCTTACTTCAAGAACCCGTGTGCGGTGGGCACATGCATCAACGATGGCAAGGGCTCCTACTCCTGCATCTGCCCTCCCAACCACGTCCCCAGCCGAACCATCGACAACTTCCCCACCTGCGACCCAGGTGCGTGCGCTCTACTGCTCCCTCCCCACCTGCGACCCAGGTGAGGTTAATCACTCACCCAGGTGAGGTCAACTGCTGCTGCTTCCCCACCTGCGACCCAGGTACGGTCGACTCAGGTGTTGCTCCTCCCCACCTGCGACCCAGGTGAGGTAACCTGTCGCTCCTTCCCCACCTGCTACCCAGGTACCGTCCAGTGCTCCTCCCTCCCCACCTGCCACCCAGCTGCCGCCCCTCCCAACCTGCCACCCCGGTGCTTCCCTCTTCCTCCTCCTTGCTTGTAGCAGGCTCGCTCTGGACTCCAAGCACCTGCAGTTGCTGCTGCAGCTAGACTGCTAAATGCTGTTGTCCTCTTACTATGCTGCCCGCTGTGAGATACGCCAAGTTACACGGCCTCTTTTGACGTCCATTTTGTCCGCAATACCATTACTCGCCTTCCCACACACCTGCCCTGCCCCCTCTTTCTACCTTCCCTCCAGCCAACGAAACGGTCACGAGCCTGGCAGTGAGCGGGGACAAGTGGGCGTGCGCGGACGTGTATGGCCTCGTGGGGCTCTCCTCCTCACAGTTCGCCCAGCAGAACCCGGTGAGGCGACAGTGGCAGCACGCATGGCAGAACCCGGTGAGCGGCAGACAGGCGAGAATGGCAAACGAGAGTAAGGCAGCAAACATAGGACAAGTGGGATTAGCAATACTGCCCATGGCAGGAAATGAGCAGCCATTGCAGTGCATTCAAAGACCCATGCCCATTTTACTCTCAAGTGCCAATCCCCTTACCCATGCCCATGCTCGTGCCCCTGCCCATGCCTGTGTGCTGCCCATGCTCATGCCCATGCCCACGCGCATGCCCATGCCCATGCTCATCCCCATGCCCATGCTCCCCAATCCAGGGTATCGACTGCTCCCAGCCGTTGCCTAAAGGAGCGGTGCTTCAGATTGCGGGCACTCCGGCCATCCCCTGCACGGGATTCTTCTACACCCTCGATGTGAGCTCCTTGTGTAAAGTTCCCCGCCATGCTTGTTCTTTTTTTTGGCTTAACAAGCCCGGCTAGGGATACAGTGGTCTCTCCATGGAGTCTCACTGCCTTGTTCTCCAGCTCCTCACATCAGCTCTACACATCAGCTGCTCTCATCAGCTGCTCGCATCAGCCAGTGCTATTGCTCATGCATCGCATGGCTTTCGCTTCTATCGTCGCCACATAACTCACCATGGAAGGAAAACCTTACCCCATCTCCTGCCCTCACCCTATCTCATCTCTCCTCAGCCTGTCTTCCCCTTTCTCTCCCTGCCAGGGCGACAGGTGTCTATCCATCGCCGCATCAGTGGATATCACCAAATCCAATCTCATGGCTCTCAACCCAGGCCTAGACTGCACGCAAGCCATCAAGCCCGGCCGCTCCCTCTGTGTGGAGCGCAACGCAAGCTACGCCTACACGGTCCCCAAGTGTGTCAAGTACGCCACACTCACAGCAGAGGACACCTGTGAGCGCCTGCTGAAAGGGTCCAGAAGCGAGAAGGTTGAGCCCTCCTCCTGGGCTGAGCTCTACCGCAACAACCCCGGGCTCGTCTGCTCCAACACCGTCCCTGGCTCTGCCTCGGCTGTTGGCAGCAACATTGGCGTGCAGGTGAGGGGTGGACGGAGGTGGAGGGAGGGGAGGGGAGGGGGGGGGGGAGGGGGGGAAAGAGGAGCAATTGGAAGATGGAAGGGTAGAACGAAGAGAAAGGTTTGGAAGGGAGCGCGGAAAAGGGAATTGACTAGCATTTAGTATACCCTTGTTGAATGAAGCTTTGGTTTGTCTTCCATCCCTTCCTCAAGCATTCCTTCCCTCTCTGCGCATGTCTCTCCTCTACCCCAGGTGTGTCTCAGGGCAGAGTACTGGTCATTTCAGCTCGGCAAGTGCACCAAGGGCCGGCCCCGGTCGGTGTCACCATCGCTCACGTGCTCCGGTGCTTACCGCTTCTATGGCAGCACTGGTACCATGAGCCGAGACGATGCGTTTCAAGATTACAACGGAGAGAGATGTGCTGGCACGGTTGGAGGCAATTTCATCTGTGTGCCAAGGTAAACGGCTCTGTCATGGCTGCTGTGCTGGCATACGCTTTTCTTGTAACATATAGTGCACAGTTTGCATTGTGACAACCCATTACGGTCACCGCCGCACAGTTACACACAGGACATGGATTGTCGACAGTCAATACCCCCGTCATGCATACTACCGTATGTACCAAACCCGCAGCAGCAAGGGTGAAAGTCTGATTTCTGTTTTTGGCTTCACACTTCGGGTCTGCTCGCTTACATGGGCTGAGCATATCATCTGTACATATTACCGTACTCCATTCACCTACAACTTATAATGTATACCGTAATATATTGTCTTCTATTCGATTGCAATGCATGCAACTGCCGGGTTTCTATTATTAGCAAGCCCGCTTACCGTATCACATTCGCACTCGAAAGACATACGGCTGTACCCTGCTATATACAACAGTAACAACCCGATGGCGTCTACAAAAATCGCTTGATTATACATGGCACACTCGATATACCTTGCAATCTTAATCACGGTATAAACACAATTATTATAAACTCACACATGACTGCCAACTGATCAAGTGCTTTTTCTATAAACACTACACACCTAGGCAAAAGCATATGGGGGATTACCAAACCGTACGGCAATACTGGAGTATGTAGCCAGTCTGCCAAGCTTAGTGAGACCAGTTAGTTGGCTTGGCAGGGCCCAATGGATGAACAGCATCATGATGCAGCACTAGTCAGAGGCTCACATCACATCACAGCCCTTGCTTGATTGTACCAAGCCAAGAGTATACATGCACTGGCATCATCCCATGCCATGCCCTGCCATGACATGCCACGCCAATACAGACCTGCTGTGAGCGAACCAGCTGTGCCTCAGCTCCCTCACCTGCTCATCCAATGGATCCCCAGGCCCCACCAAACCCCTCTCATCCCCCTCTCGCTCCACGTGTAGTAGGGCTGTTTTTGAGTCACCCCAGAAACAGCCTCATGCCATGCCATGCCATGCCATGCCATGCCCCATTACAAAGTCGACTCGCTGCGAGTGAACTGGCTCTGCCTCAGCTCCCTCAGCTGCTCATCCAATGAATCCCTAAGCCCCCTCTCGCCCACCTCTCGCTCCCCGCGACCATCGTCCGACCCATCAAAATCACCACCACCAGCACCAGCGCCAGTGCCAGTGCCATCAGCAGCGGCAGGGTTGGTGGCAAGGCCATCCCCGGTGGGGTTGGTGGAAGAGTAGGTGATGTGAGAGACGTCGTAGTGCATTGATGGGTTGCTATCAGACCCGTGGAGTGTGGAGGAGGACACTCCGATGTTGCGCTGCATGCTCCACTCCACTCCCTGCAAAGCAGAGCGGACACAGGGTCGAGACAACAAGACGGGAAGGCGAAACAAGAGGTTCGGTTCTGAGAAGTGTCAACATGTTTCTCCTGCTTCCACTAACTCAAGAAAGCATCACTGTGAGGGGATTTGGGCAAGTGGGGAAACGGGGAAGGGAGAGATACGAGGGCAGCAGGTAGCAGCACAGAGGAGGAGGAGGAGGAGGAGGAGGAGGAGGAGGAGGAGGAGGAGGAGGAGGAGGAGGAGGAGGAGGAGGAGGAGGAGGAGGAGGAGGAGGAGGAGGAGGAGGAGGATGAGGAGGAGGAAGGGGAGGAGAAGGAAGAACAGCCTTCTTCCTGGCCCCATTCATCCTGACCTACCCTCCTATCCTCCGCATCCCGGTGCCGTCCCTCTCTTTGATCCTCGTTCCCACTTCACTTTCCCCCATCCCCTTCACCCATTTCCCCACTTCCCCACTTTCTCCCCCCCTTCACAGTCTCTGAATCACCTCCCCCCCCCCTTCCCCCCCACCCCCCTCCCCCCTGTTGCTTTCTTCCTCTTCTGCTGTTCTCACCGCAGTGTAAGCGCTCTTGTAGTGGCGAACGCGGCTCTTGAGGCGTCTGGGCTTGTTGACAGCAGCACGCACTGGCGTCACACCCACTGCGTTCGGGCCTTCCCCCTCCTGCCCTTCCTGCTCCGCTGCCGCCGCTCTCTCTGCTGCAGCCTGCTGCTGTGCTAGCCTGCAGCGAGGGAGTGAGGGGAGGGGAGGGTATTGGGTGTGATGCCGTGGGTATTCTAAGGTGCTGTGCGGAACTGATCCAATAAAGCCTGAAGAAGGATGCGTGCTTGAGCAGCATGAGGCGCCTCATAAGGAGGAGAGGCGGAAAGGAGGAGCGGGGGCGAGGGGGAGAGGAGGAGAGGGTTAGAGGAGGAGAGGAAAAGAGGGCAAGAGCACCCACCGGAAGGCCTTGAGGCCACGGTAGACGAGGAGAGCAGCGTAGAGCAGGCAGCTGCCGAAAGCAGCGAGCAGGTAGAGCAGGAAGAGCCCCCAGAAGGAGTCCGGGCCCAGGCGCATCGACTCCAGCTCCAACCCCGCACAAGTGCCCTTGCCCTGTTGGGGGGAAGGTGGAGAGGGGGAAGGTGGAGAGGGGGGAGGTGGAGAAAGTTGAGGTTGTGGGGGGAGGCGAGGGTGAGAGAGGAAAGGTGAAAGAGTGGCTTTCGGGGTAGATTTAAGCCCCCAGAAGGAGTCCAGGCCCAGTCGCATAGACTCCAGCTCCAATCCAGCACTGCACGTGCCCTTGCCTTGTGGGGTCAGGTGGAAGGGAGGGGCATGTGGTGGTGAGGGGCGAGGTGGAGGAATAGAGGGGTGCAGGTGGGGGATTGATGAGCGGGGGTGGAGAGGACGAGGGTGGGAGAGGAATAATTCTGGGTGGCATTGCACGGGTGCGTGCGTGCCTGCGTGCGTGCGTGCATGCCTGTGTGAATGTGTGCACTGCACGCGAGTGTGACTGACCCACCCGGAGCCAGAGGTCGTGCAGAGACTGCAGCTGGCCGTTCTGTGCCAAGGTCTCTATGGCCAGAGACAGGTCCGTGAAGATGGCTCAAAGAGCCAAAGCAGTCACCGCAAACTAGTCATGGCCCTTCCTACTTAGGAGAAACCTTGGACTCACCCGGAGCCACAGGTCGTGCAAGGACTGCAGCTGGCCGTTCTGTGCCAGGGTCTCTATGGCCAGAGAAAGGTCCGCTGTCAGTGACGATCCCCTCTGGAACGCCTGTGGCACCGAGCAGAGAGTTGCAGACGGGGAAGCAGCGTTGGGAGGAGAGGGTAGAGGTGATTGGAGGACAGAGAGGCAGGCAGGTGGTGTGGTGACCAGGGATGGTCGGACGAATGCGGATGTGATCTGCAGGCGTTTGTTTATTATTGTATTTGGAAAGAATGCAGCAGTTCCGTTCCGATCGAGAAACAAGCAGCATGCAGCACGCAGCAAGCAGCAAGTAGAGGAGCGCACAAAGCCAAAGTTGAAGGTGGCGAAGGCGTGAGGCGGCTTGGTGTAGTAGCAGTGGTCTGAGAGGAATATGTCGAGGTAGGGCTCTTCATCTACCACCACTGCCACCTGCTGCTCCTGCACCACTGCATCCCAGTCGCCCTCCGGGTCTATGGCCACTAGTCGCGACTGGTGGGTGGAGGAGAGGTGGAGACGGGAAGGGAGAGGATGGGAGAGGAGGGAAAGCGGTCAGGGAAGAGGGGAGGTGAGGATGGGAGAGGACGGAAAGTGAGGTATTTGATTGACAAGGTAGATACGCATGCTTCAGTGTCAGAGTTGGCATGTTGCACTACACACTTCCATCTGAACATGGCAGTAGTTGCAGAGGTCGATGGAGCAAGGTGGGCAAGGTAGGGAGCATTCCGGTGCAGCCAAGCCAAGATACTTGAATTGACCAGAAAAAGCATCTCCGGGCTTTGTCATGTGGCGACAGTGAGGAGCATCAACGTGAAGGCAGAGAGGAGAGGAGAGGGAGACAGTGGAAGTGAGCAGGCTAGCAGCGGACCTCGTTGATGCCCACGCCCTGCATGTACGTGGCTGTGAAGGAGCCCCACGGCCATGTACCCCACGCTCTGATTCTGAGTCAACTGATGTTGAGTGGCCTCAAAACGCAAAGTGCATGCAAACTAGCAAGCTAGCAGCAGCAGAGCGGACCTCGTTGATGCCCACGCCCTGCATGTACGTGGCTGTGAAGGAGCCCCACGGCCATGTACCCCACGCTCTGATTCTGAGTCAACTGATGTTGAGTGGCCTCAAAACGCAAAGTGCATGCAAACTAGCAAGCTAGCAGCAGCAGAGCGGACCTCGTTGATGCCCACGCCCTGCATGTACGTGGCTGTGAAGGAGCCCGCCATGTACCCCACGCTCTGATTCTGAGTCAACTGATGTTGAGTGGCCTCAAAACGCAAAGTGCATGCAAACTAGCAAGCTAGCAGCAGCAGAGCGGACCTCGTTGATGCCCACGCCCTGCATGTACGTGGCTGTGAAGGAGCCCGCCATGTACCCCACGCTCTGATTACCCTCCTGCAGCGCTGTGAAGTCCTGCTTGCAGCAGCAGCGGCGGTGGTGACAGCAGCAGCAGCGGCGGCGGCGGTGGCGGCGGCGGCGGCGGCGACAGCAACAGAAGCAGCAGAAGCAGCAGAAGCAGCAGAAGCAGAGGGAGGAGATGGGGCAACACAGGAAGAGGTGAGACGGTGGACTGTCAAGGTAAGTCACACGCTTTAGTCCAAAGTCACATGGATATGGGTATGGGTTTGGCCATGGGCATGGTGGGTAGTAGGTGGCGGTAAAATGTAGGGGGAATTAGAACTTCTTGGGTGTACCAACGAATCAGCGCAATAATACATACATAAGGAATGCTTGGGAGGGAGCGGGGAGGGAGCGGGGAGGGAGGGGGGAGGGAGGGGGGAGGGAGGGGGGAGGGTAGTAGTAGCACGTACGGAGACAGTGGGCTCGGACTGGCTGACTGTGAGCACAGAGGAGAGACTGGCGGTGTAGGCAGAGGAGATAACAAAGACCACGAACAGCCACACTATCACCACCGTGCGGCCTAGCGTTGTGCGCACTTGCTCCTCTGTTTGTGGGGGGGGGGGGAAGAGGGGGAGGGAGAGGGGTGCGGGGTGAGAAGGAGAGAGAAGGGTGGAGAGAAAGGGAGGGCTAAGAGAGTGACCGGGACAGATAGTGTGTGAGTGAGTTAAGGAAGGAGAAAGAGGGATGGGAAAAGGAGGGATTAGAGGAGTGTGTGCGGGGGAAGAGAGGTAGAGGGAAGAGAAAAATAGGCAGAGTAGAAGAATAACAGTGGCAGTGTGTTGTGTGTTGGTCACTCTTGCATTTGTAAGTTCTCAAAAATGATCCCATTTCAGAGCAGCAGAGTGCGTACCATGGGAGAAGGTCATAGTGGCAAAAGAGAACCTGCACAGAAAAGGATCAAGTGGAGGTCAAGTGAGTAGAGAATACGGAGGGGAAATGGGAGCAAGGCGGATGAGGGAGCAGCAGAGGACACAACAGGCAAGAGACAGAGCAAGACCAAATGCGAGAGAGGAGAAAAAATTAGTAAGTTTATTGACAGGCCCTTCCCTCCCCTCCCCTCCCCTCCCCTCCCCTCCCCTACCCTACCCTCCCCTCACCTCCCCTCCCCTACCCTCCCCTCCCCTCCCCTCTTCTTCCCCCCCATCCCCTCCGCTCCTCTCCCCTTCCACCCCCCTTCCCCCCACGCACCAGACGCTGGTGGCGAGCTGCTGGTGCAGCTTGCCCCCAAACTCCTTGTTCTGCAGGTGCTCGAGGAACAACCCCCACCCACACACACGCAAACACTCTCCCTCTTCCCCCTCCCTCCTCAACCCAACCCTCACATCCCCCCCCTCACCCCCTTGGTCGCTGACAACCCACCACACACTGGTGGCGAGCTGCTGGTGCAGCTTGCCTCCAAAGTCTTCGTTCTGCAGGTGCTCGAGGAACCAGACGACGAGCGCGGTGTAGAAGAAGGACACGTACAGCAGCACCCACATGCCCGGGGTGAACGGCGCCAGGAACGCCCACGTGTTGGGCGCAGCCCGCTGCACCGGCACCGCAAAGGACAGCCCGGATGACTGCAGGAAGGGGCAGTGGGATGGGTGGATGAGTGGGTGGTTGGTTGAGGGGGCAAGTAAGCCCGCCCGTGTGTTGCGAGTGTCAAAAGGGAGAATGCGAAGGTTGGTAATCTGTGCAGAAGGGAGTGAGAAAAGGAGGTGGGGATGGGAGTGGAAGTGGCAGGGAAGGGGGCGGGGAAACGGAGAGAGGAAGGAGGAAGGAAGTATGTACCTGAAAGGGCTGAGTGAAGATACAATTTACCTCAAGTCTACCTCAAAGTCGACTCAAATCACCTCAAAGGGCTGTGTGAAGTCAACAAGCAAGGCTCGGTCCGATGTGATGGTGATATCCCCCACTGCTGCATCGTACGTCTGCTCTCCTCCCGTGGGGCAGTTGGGACAGTCGTGAGATGAGGAGAGGAGAGGGAAGGGGCATTGGGGAGGGAGAAAGCGAGTGGGAAAGGAGAGAGTGGTAGTTAAGGGAGAGGGGGAGGAGGAGGAGAGTAAGAGGGCGGAAGGAAGTGAGGTCATCCATCCAGGCAAGTTGGGCCGAGTCTAATAGCAGACAACTTTTGAGAATTCTCAAAAGTCGCATCAAGATAGCAGACAACTGGCAGCAGCCTCGCAAGCCAACAGCGCACCCTCTCTCTCTCTCTCTCTCGCAAGCACACCCTCTTGCCATTGCACCCTCTTCCCAGCACACCTTATTGGCGACAGCAGCGAGCATGGCATCATAACTGGGCAGGGTCTGGCCGTCCCCATAGGCGACGAACTGGTAGGAGAGCGTGTAGGGCAGCAGCGCAACAGCGGACTTGAAGACGTCGATGCAGAAGCCCGAGAACTTGTCGTTGCTGGACGACGTGCCGTTGCTGCTCTCCCCCACAAACACAAACTCGTGGTGCACCTGCGTGGGGGACAGAGCCAGGGGGCGTGGAGGAGGAGACGGGTGGGGGGACAGGCGGAGGAGGAGCAGAGGGGTTGTGGGGGGGGAAGAGGAAGGGAAGGGGTCAGGCAAGGGGGTGGGGAGTGGGAAGGAGGGGGTGATTCAGCCGAGATGCATGCATGAAGCAGGTGTTGCTGCTGCTCTTCCCCTCAACCACAAACTCATGGTGCACCCGGGTGGGGTAGCGTGTTGTGTGTGGGAGGGGTTGGGGGAGGTTGGGGGAAAGGCGGGAGGGGAGGAGGAACAAGCTGATCAGCTATGGGCTGACCTGCCATTCCATCTCCATTTCTATCTCCCAACACGTGTCCATCTATGGGCCCGTCTGACCGCACACTTCCCTCTCCCCATTTCCTGTTGATTCCCTTCATGCGTGGCACGATCCCAAACACTCTTTGTTTGCGTCGGCTCAAGAGGCACCATTACCCTCCCACTTTTGAGTATTATAAAGTCACTTCCCTCCCCATCCTTCCTATCTATTCCCTTCATGCATGGCACAAGCACTCTTTGTTTGTGTCGGCTCAAGAGGCACCACTCCCTCCCTCGCCTCGCCTCGCCTCGCCTCGCCTCGCCTCGCCTCGCCTCGCCTCGCCTCGTCTCGCCTTACCTTTTTGTTTGGAACGGCGATCTGGAGCGGGGCAGAGGACTTGGGGAACGCTCCCAGAGGCACCTGAGGCGGGGAGAGAGAGTGGGGAGATAGAAGGGTGGGGAACGAGGGTGGGAAAGTGGGTGGGAAGAGGGGGTGGGGAAAGAGGGTGGGGGATAGAAGGTGGAGGGGTGCAGAGAGGGAAAAGAGGGTGGGGAGAGGGTGGGAAGTTGGTGGGAAGAGGGTAGGGAGAGGGGACGGAAAAAGAGACTGAGGGACACGGTGGGGAGTGAGGGCGGGGAAAGTGGGGCGCCGTGGAAACGGCTGAGAGGAACAGAGGGTTGTTGCGTTGAGACAACCAAAGGGATCATGATGGCTCGAGGGAAGGAATACTACTGCCAAGTTCCAACCAACACTTCACTACTTCAGTGCTGAGGCAGCACAAAAGAGCATGAGGGGAGGACTTGAGAGAGTGGCCTTTTGGAGTAACTGGATTCAACCCTTTCATCCTCCCACCCACCCACCCACCCACCACAACCAGCAGCGCAAGCCAAACGCACCACGCAAGTTCACACAACGCCCACTTCACATGTACTGCTGGTTGAGGAGAACACACCCACAGCCAGCCAACCCGCCCAGTGATGCCCGTCATCCTAGTTCACAGACAGACCCACCCACCTCTGTGATGCCCCCCGGCCATATGACGGCACGTAGGGACGCATCTGCATCTGCCACCACACCCTGTGCTGCAGAAGATGACGCTGCTGCTGCCGCCGCTGACACCCCCACTGCCTTCGCCTGGGGAATGCGAAGCAGGAAAGGGTAGGAACACGTGCGGATTGATAGAGTGAGTGGCGGCAGGCATGGGGGACAGGGGATGGGGTGGGGGTTGTTGGGGAGGAGGGAGAGGCGGGGGAGGGGGGAGAGGCGGGGGAGGGGTACTGGAAAAAGAATGAGGGAGATAGGTTGAAGGAGAAGGATACAGCAGCAAGTAAGATTTCCGAGGCTGACAGGTATACTTCTCTGAGATTACTGGAAGTTGTGCAAGGGAGAGAAGTGTGAGTGAGTGAGGGCGAAGTGAGTGAGGGAGGGAAACATGTCTTAGTGAGTGGGATGTGAGTGAGCGTGAAGTGAGTGCGCAGCGCAAGGCATGTGAGAGAGCATACAGCAGCAGCGCGAGTGGTGAGGCGCCTGGCTTCCAGCCGATCCACCATCTGGCTTCCAGCAGCAGCACGACCGAATGCACCGGACCGGAGTGAGGCGTAGCGACATGCATGCAGGTCACGTGGGAGAGTGGGGAGAGGAGAGGTTGAGAACGGTGGAAGTGAGTGAACAGGGCAGCAGCAGCAGCAGCAGCAGCAGCAGCGCGAGTGGTGAGGCGCCTGGCTTCCAGCCGGTCCACCATGTGAGCAGCAGCACCAGTGGCAGAGTGGGGGGTGGGCCATCCAGTCCAGGTCATGTAGGAGAGAGAGGAGAGGTGAGAAGGATGAAAGTGAGAAAACAGGGCAGCAGCAGCAGCGCGAGTGGTGAGGCGCCTGGCTTCCAGCCGGTCCACCATCTGAGCAGCAGCAAGACCGAATGCACCGGAATGAGGCCATGTGGGCAAGGGGCAATGTGGGTAATGTGGCGCATGTGGCGCATGTGGGGTGTGTGAGGTACGTGAGACATATGGCGTATGGGGGGCACGTGGGAGAGAAAGGAGAGGTTGAGGAGGACAGGAGTAAGAGAATAGGGCAGCCCAACCAGGCAAGTGGCACAGACACTGAGGAAAGAAAGATGACTTTCGAGTCAACTCAAAAGCTTCTGTGTCGCTCTGTTCAAGGGGCTGAGAAGAGAAGAAAGAGAATGCACAGCGCAGACTCGTGCAGAGGACACATGAGGAGGATTTTTTAAGTGCCTCTAATTATACCTCAATGCTCTGAGAAGGGAGGAAAGAGGATGCAGGGCGCAGACTCGCAGAGGACACATGCGCAGGTGCCAGGTGATGCAGTGGTCAGGCCGAGGGACTAGGCTGCTGCCGATACATTTCAAGGCGGCAGATGGTGGCATGCCATGCAAGCACCGCGCTACGCTAACCAACATGGTAGCAGCATGGTGGCAGCAGCATGGTGGCAGCAGCATGGTGGTAGCAGCATGGTGGCAGCAGCATGGTGGCAGCAGCATGGTGGCAGCAGCATGGTGGCAGCAGCATGGTGGCAGCAGCATGGTGGTAGCAGCATGGTGGCAGCAGCATGGTGGTAGCAGCATGGTGGCAGCAGCATGGTGGTAGCAGCATGGTGGCAGCAGCATGGTGGCAGCAGCATGGTGGTAGCAGCATGGTGGCAGCAGCATGGTGGCAGCAGCATGGTGGCAGCAGCATGGTGGTAGCAGCATGGTGGCAGCAGCATGGTGGTAGCAGCATGGTGGCAGCAGCATGGTGGCAGCAGCATGGTGGCAGCAGCATGGTGGCAGCAGCATGGTGGCAGCAGCATGGTGGCAGCAGCATGGTGGCAGCAGCATGGTGGCAGCAGCATGGTGGCAGCAGCATGGTGGCAGCAGCATGGTGGCAGCAGCATGGTGGCAGCAGCATGGTGGCAGCAGCATGGTGGCAGCAGCATGGTGGCAGCAGCATGGTGGCAGCAGCATGGTGGCAGCAGCATGGTGGCAGCAGCATGGTGGCAGCAGCATGGTGGCAGCAGCATGGTGGCAGCAGCATGGTGGCAGCAGCATGGTGGCAGCAGCATGGTGGCAGCAGCATGGTGGCAGCAGCATGGTGGCAGCAGCATGGTGGCAGCAGCATGGTGGCAGCAGAATGGTGGCAGCAGCATGGTGGCAGCAGCATGGTGGCAGCAGCATGGTGGCAGCAGCATGGTGGCAGCAGCATGGTGGCAGCAGCATGGTGGCAGCAGCATGGTGGCAGCAGCATGGTGGCAGCAGCATGGTGGCAGCAGCATGGTGGCAGCAGCATGGTGGCAGCAGCATGGTGGCAGCAGCATGGTGGCAGCAGCATGGTGGCAGCAGCATGGTGGCAGCAGCATGGTGGCAGCAGCATGGTGGCAGCAGCATGGTGGCAGCAGCATGGTGGCAGCAGCATGGTGGCAGCAGCATGGTGGCAGCAGCATGGTGGCAGCAGCATGGTGGCAGCAGCATGGTGGCAGCAGCATGGTGGCAGCAGCATGGTGGCAGCAGCATGGTGGCAGCAGCATGGTGGCAGCAGCATGGTGGCAGCAGCATGGTGGCAGCAGCATGGTGGCAGCAGCATGGTGGCAGCAGCATGGTGGCAGCAGCATGGTGGCAGCAGCATGGTGGCAGCAGCATGGTGGCAGCAGCATGGTGGCAGCAGCATGGTGGCAGCAGCATGGTGGCAGCAGCATGGTGACAGCAGCACTGCTTACCTGGAGAGAGGAGAGGAAAGGCTGAGACGCAGATGCAGAAGCAGGAGGGGCAGGAGGCGGGGGAGGCGGCGGGGGAGGCGGGGGAGGAGGAGCAGCTGGGGAGGATGCAGGCGCAGGGGAAGGGGCGGAGGCATTGGAGGCGGGGGGGGAAGGGGGAGGGGAGGCGGGGGGAGGGGACGGGGGAGGGGGAGGAGGGGGGGCGCGGTAGTGGTAGAAGGCGATGGTGCGGAGGCCGTGGCGGAGAACATTGGCCACTCGGAAGAACTGCTCCTGTAGGTCGCCGCCTGTCGTGAATGACACCCTGGTGTGGAGGGGGGAGAGGGTGTGAGGAAGAAGGAAGGGAAGGATTATTTGTGAGGCGGCTCAAAGAAAGAAGAATTGCTCCTGTAGGTCGCCGCCTGTCGTGAATGACACCCTGGCGAAGAGTGGTTGGAGGAGGGGAGGACAAGGGTGAAAGGGGGATGAAAACATGGGGGAAAGGGGAGGGTGGAGGATGCAAGTAGCAGGGTGTGAGGTGGGTGGGGAAAAGATGGGTGGAAAGAAGGCGGGTGGGTGAGGCGTGTTAGAAGTGTTCAAGGTGGAAATGAGGAGAGAGCGCCAGTGGTGATGGTGAGAATGCATGGCATGGCATGCATAGCGGGGGACAGGGGACAGGGGGCAGGGGACAGGGGACAGACAGCATGCGGGATGAAGAGCGGTGAGATGTGATTTGAGGGGGATTCAGCAGGGTTGAATGGAGTCAGGTCAGAGCCAGAGAGATTGCATGTGACACATGATGGGGTGGTGGGTGGGCTGCATGTCCAGAAGACCGGTGGGCGGCTGCACTTACTCTCCAGATAATCCTGTCTGTCATGTTGCTTCTTGAAGTGACTTTTGAGTCGACTCAAAAGCCCGACTGGCATGGCATGGCATGGCATGGCATGGCATGGCAAGGCAGGGTGCACTGCACTTACTCTCCCAAGAGGCCTGTCATGTTGCTCTTCAGGATGGAGGCCAGCAATGCATCCCCGCCTGCTCACACCCATGCATATGCGCACACACACACAGACATGTAAACAACGCACGCACGGCCGCGCGCGCGCGCACAGGTGAAAGTTTGCCACACAGAGGGGATAGAAAGTAAGGAGAGGCAGCACCAGACAGCAGAGAGAAGAGAGCATGACAGTGTCATCACCACATTGCAATTCATTTCATAGGACTTCCGATTTGACCCCTGCAACTACCGCCCACCATGAATCAACACACTCACACCCTCACCCCCCACACATCACTATGCATGCACGTGCATGTCTATTGACTTGACTAATAAGTCACAATTCCACCCATGAGGCACCTGCACGCACCATGCACCTGCTGAAAGAGACCTTTGAGCCGTGCCACGTATAGGGAGCACGATTAAACAGTCAATCAAACGGACACCGTGCCATGCACGCACCTTTATGCACCTCCAGCTGCTGGAAGCTGGGGTTGGTGCCAGCTACGGGGCTGGGAGGGGGCGAGGGCCCAGCGCCAGGGGGAGGAGAGGGCGCGGGGGGGGGCGGGGGAGCGCGGGAGAGAGCAGCTGCGGCATAGGCAGTGAGGTGCACGGCGTCATAGGCTGATATGGCCTGCCGGAGTGCCTCGTCTGGGGACTGGAGGAGCAAATGAGGGAGGAAATAAGAGGTCGTGGAGGAGTATGGGGGGGTATGTCATGAATGACTGGAAGGCAGCATAGGCAGTGAGGTGCAGGGCATCATAGGCTGATATGGCCTGCCGGAGTGCCTCGTCTGGGGACTGGGGTGTTTGTTTCACGGGGGAAGAGGTAGAGAAGGGGAAGGGATGTGTTGGGAAAACAAAAAGGCGGAGTACGTAGGCAGTGAGGTGCAGGGCACCATAGGCTGACATGGCCTGCCGGGGGGCTTCGTCTGGGGACTGGGATTGGGAGGGTTGGACAGGGACGGTTGTGAATGGGAGTGGGCAGGAGTGCATGGCAGGTTGTGAATGGGAGGGGACGGCAGCATAGGCAGTGGGGTGCACGGCGTCATAGGCTGATATGGCCTGGCGAAGGGCCTTGTCTGGGGACTGGGAGAGTTGTAGAGGGGAGGAGGGGGGTATGTATGGGTATGTCATGAAAGACTGAAAAGGCAGCAACAGCAGGGCAGCAAGGAGTGAACTAGCCCACACTCTAATGGACAGGTGCACGGCATAATCTCTGAGGCAGTCATCCAAAGAAAGGGATTCGATGAGCTGCCCCCAGCCTTCATGTTAAAGGCCCACCTTTTGCCTCCAACCCAACCAGACCCCAACCAAACCCAATTGCAGGAGGCGAACTTTGAGGCGCATTTTAGAGACGATTTTTTTTGGAGCCTCAAGTAACCTCTAACTCCTGGAGGATCCTCGACCTGCAGGGCACCAACCAAGGACTGTGTTGGTTGGCTTGGCTCTCGCCTTGATGATGGCCTGCCTGCTGCCTCACCTTGATGATATGCCTCTCAGGTGGTATGGTATCCCAAGGGAATGTTGATACGCCTTCAAGCCCCTTCCCTCTCCCCTTCCCCCCCTCCCCCCCCCCCCCCCCCCTTCTTCCCCAGGCGATTCGCACCTGCAGGGTGTCGAGCGCCGTGTTGGCTCTGGCTTTAATGGCTTGCTGCACTTCTGCCAGCCGTGCTGTGGGCACGTCAAATGGTAGCGTGCCCAGCATGCCCTGTGCAGGTGAGCGGTGTGTGGAAAGAGGGGGGGGGGGGGGGGGGGGGTGTTGTGCGGAGAGAGGCAGGGAGAGGGAGACAGGTGTCTTTTGAGTGGACTCGAAAGTTGGCTCTGGCTTTGGTGGCTTGCTGCACGTCTGCCAGCCATGCTGTGGACACGTCAAATGGTAGCGTGCCCAGCATGCCCTGTGCAGATGAGGGGTGTGGAGCGGGGGGGGGGGGGGGGGGGGGAAGAGAGGAGGTGCGGAGAGAGGGAGGGGAGACGGCGACAGGTGAAAGAGTGATGAGATGTGTCGAATGGGGCCGCTCCCTCCCATCCTTCCCATTCTTCCTTTCCATTCTTTTTTCCCATCCCTCCCATCCTTCCCATCCCTCCCATCCCTCCCACCCATGTGCCACCAGGCCTGTCACAGGAGGTCACAGTGGTGTGGTGCCTCCTAGCATCTCATGGTGCTGCTAGGCAGTCGCTCAAGTGGCAGCAGCACCAGGGTGAACCATCTCCGTGATTGCACCATGCCCCCCTGCCTCCATGCTTATGGCATATTCCTGCTCTCACTCTCACAGTTGTGCCTCCTCCTTGCATCCCATGGTGCTGCTAGGCCAGTCGCTCAAGTGGCAGGCAGCAGCACCAAGGTCCGCTGTCCCTCCCTCCGTGTCCTAGTGCCATGCTTCTTGTGTGACCATGCCTGTGCCATGCCTTCGCTCCCTTCCCTCCCCTCTCGCCTCTCCTTCCTCTCCCTCCCCTCCCCCATGTGCACCTCACAGCCGATGAGGGTGGGGGAGAGCATGCGGTTGCTGCTGAGCAGGGGACGCACGCTGTGGCGATTTATTAGTTGACCCAAAAATGATCCCTCCCTCCCCGTCCTTCTGTCACCCCTCTCCCGTCCCTGCCCTTCCTACCCTCCCTACCCTCCCCCTACCCTCCCTGCCCTCCCTCCCCGCCCTGCCCTCCCTGCCCTCCCTGCCCTCCCTGCCCTCCCTGCCCTCCCTGCCCTCCCTGCCCTCCCTCCCCGCCCTGCCCGTCCTGCCGTGCGCCCCACACACCTCGCAGCCGACGAGGATGGGGGAGAGAGCGCGGTCGGTGCTGAGCACAGACATGACGCCCGATGTCGCGATCCATACATATCCCGCTGTGAACAGCCCCAGCTGTGCCGCTGCCCAGGGCAATGGAGCGAGGCGAGAGAGGCGCGGGGTGGTGGACGGAAGGGAAGGGAAGGGGTGAGCTCAGCAGCCAGCACAGACATGACGCCCGATGTCGCGATCCATACATATCCCGCTGTGAACAGCCCCAGCTGTGCCGCTGCCCAGGGCAATGGAGCGAGGCGAGAGAGGCGCGGGGTGGTGGACGGAAGGGAAGGGAAGGGGTGAGCTCAGCAGCCAGCACAGACATGACGCCCGATGTCGCGATCCACACATACCCTGCCGTGAACAGCCCCAGCTGCGCCGCTGCCCGTGCACGCGCGCGGTGAGCGTGAGGCGGAGGTGGGGGTGATGGTGTGGCGGAGGGGTGGGTGGGGGTGGAAGATGGGGTTTGTGGTTGGGGTGGAAGATGGGGTTTGTGGTTGGGGTGTGGGTGTATCCGTGAAGGGGGATGGTGGGAAGGGGGGTAGAGGAGGGTCGGGGGAAAAGGGGAGAAAATCAGACGTTCAAAGAGGGAACAGACAGAGTAGTCAGGAATGGGTTCCGGATGGAAGGGAATTGGAAGGCATAGTGAACGCAAGGACAACGTAGCACTGCAACCAAAGCAAGCAAGCAAGCCTGTGTGCGTGCATGTGCGCGTGCATGGGGGATGTGCATGTATGCATGTGTGCATGTGCATGTGAGTACGTGCATGTGGGCATGTGTGCATGTGCATGTGTACAAGTGTGAGAGAGCGGGGAAGGGCGGGGCGGGGCGGACCTATTTTGAGGACGATGCAGATGGTGGTGGGGCTGTGCAGTGCAGGTGCAGCACAAGCACTCCCCCCACCGCCCTGTTCTGTGCATGCGTGTGCGTGCGTGAGAACACACAGGGCAGCGCTCACCTGTTTTGAGGACAATGCGGATGGTGGTGTGGCACTCCCCCCACCGCCCTGTTTTGTGCATGCGTGTGCGTGCGTGAGAACACACAGGGCAGCGCTCACCTGTTTTGAGGACAATGCGGATGGTGGTGGGGCTGTGCAGGTGCAGCACAAACACCGACGCCTCCACTGCCCGCACCTGCAGGAACGCCGCCATCACGTCCGTCTCCGCGCTCACCCTGCTGTCAAACTGCCACGACGCCACCACCCGCGCCGTGCCCTGCATGTGAGGGGGAGGGAGAGGGTTTTGGGCAGAAGAATTTTCTCATCCAACTGGGAATGCTGCCATCACGTCTGCCTCTGCTCCGCGCTCGCCCTGCTGTCAAACTGCCACGACGCCACCACATGCGCTGTGGTTTGAGGGGTTTGGAGAGAGGGTGGAGAAGAAGCTGGGGGTGGTGAGGGGTTTGGGGAGTGGGGATGGGGGGAGATGGAACGGGAGATTGGGAGGGGTAGACAGCCAAATGGAGGAGTGATAGTGGCGAAGGTAACTGATGGGATGATAGTGATGGTAGCGGTAAGATGTAATTAGGGGGGTGGTGAGGTGAGTGACTGACCCGCTGTTGCAGCAGGCGGGTGAGGGACTGGAAGCCGTTCCACGCACTGTCAGTGCTCTCAAACAGCGCCACCACCTGCGTCCAGTTGTAGAACCCCACCAGGTCTGATGCGTGCCGTGCCATGCCATGCCATGCCATGCCATGCATGCCATGCCAGTGCAAGTCCATACCATACCATGACACGCATGCCATGCCACGCCATGCCACATCATGCGATGCGATGCCATGTGACATGCCATGCCATGCGGCATGGTTATGTTCCCAGCCCGCACCTCGGGAGGAAACAGTGCACAATGTGTGTGAGCAATACGGTGATAACTGAGTCAACTCTAAAGTTATGAGCAACATTTTTTGCAATCGGGTAACAATGTTCTTGATGATAGGGGAACAGGGACAAAGCCACAAGCATAGAAGTCGAGGAGTCTGGAGAGGAAAAGAAGAAGGGGAGTGGGATGGGGTGGAGGAAGGGGGGGCATAGGAATCACGAAAAAAGCGCAAACGCAATACTCTCGCTTGCACCCTGGCTAGCTGGCTGGCTGGCTGGCTGGCTGGCTGGCTGGCTGACGGGTGTGCATGCACCAGCAACGACGGCCATCTGAGAGTAATCGTCGTAGTGCACGCGCAGAAAGTATTTTCTGAGTCAACTCAAAAGTCACCTTGTAACAATGGCATGGCACAAGACACGGTTTCATCAGAAAGAGTTATCAGCGCCCTGCACCACAACGACGGCCATCTGGGCGTAGTCATCGTAGTGCACTCGCACAAAGTAGGGCAGCTGCGCTGCGCGTTGGCATTCAGCAGCAGCGGGCCTGTGTGCCATTGTAGTAGCGAGGCGACTTTTGCGCCGACTCACCAGCAACAACAGCCATCTGAGCATAGTCATTGTAGTGCACTCGCACAAAGTAGGGCAGCTGCGCATTGGCGTTCAGCACTGTGGGGGTTACTTCTAAGAATTCTCAAAAGGTATCATCGCTCGATCTTACCAGCAACAACAGCCATCTGAGCATAGTCGTCGTAGTGCACGCGCACAAAGTAGGGCAGCTGCGCGTTGGCGTTCAGCAGCGGGTCCGTCGCCGCATACGCTAGCATCGGCACCTGCAGGGGGGCACAATGAGGGTCGGACGAATAAGGAGAAGATGGGGAGACAGGGCCATGGAGTGGAGGTGGGAGTGGGGCCTCTCAGCACAGCAGCGGGTCCATTGCCGCATATGCTAGCATCGGCACCTGCAGGGCGGGACATGCCGTGGGGGCGGGGAGGGAGGAGGGAGGAGGGAGGAGGGGCACAGTGAAGGGCGGGGCTTGCCACGTGGGTGGGGAGGAGGAGCTGAGCGGGTGGGCATGAGATAGGAAGCGGGAGTGGGATGGAACGAAGGGGACGATGTCAAGCATCAATCAAGCGAGCAAGGGGGCAAGCAAGGGAGCGAGCGAGAGAGCGAGTGAGGGAGCAAGTGGGGGAGCGAGTGAGGTAGCGAGTGAGGGAATAGTGAGGGAGCAAGTGCATGAGCGAGCGAGGGAGCGCGCGAAGGAGGAGCGAAGCGATGTGCCTGCATGGCGGAGGCGATGGGGCCGACTACAGAGGTCTGCAGGGATGTGGATGGACCCAGCAGCACCGAGGGAACTTTTGAGTCGACTTACAAGTCACCATGGGGGCAAGGGAGGGAGAAAGAGAGGGAGAGAGGGAGGGAGAGAGGGAGGGAGAGAGGGAGGGAGGGAGGGAGGGAGGGAGAAAACGACGTGCCTGCATGGCGGAGGCGATGGGGCCGACTACAGAGGTCTGCAGGGATGTGGATGGACCCAGCAGCACCGAGGGCGGTGGCTTCCCCAGTAGCAGATCCAACGCTGCGACGGGGGATTATGGGATGAGAGGTGCGGGATGGAGGTCAGGGGAAAAGGGGAGGAGAAGGGAAGGGGGGAAGGGAAGGGAGGGGGAAGTGAAGAGAGGGAAGGGGAAGGGGAGGGGACGGGAATGGTGGAAAGAAGAGCATCGGGGTGGATTTGGAAAGGGGGGAAAGGGTTTTCAAATATGGTATGGCATTTAGTTGAGAGGGAATAGAAGTGACCTGGAGGTTGGGGGGAAGGAGGAAGGGGAAGGAGGGGGGCGGAAGGAGCGAGGCGAGGGGAGGCGAAGCGAAGATGGGTGACAGGACACGAGGCAGGAGGACTGCATTGCCATGTTAGTGGACATGTAGACATGCTAGGCGAGAAGTCATCCTCCTTGCTTCATGTAGACATAAGTTCCCTGCGGACTGCATACAATGAATCATGCATGAGCATGTACATTCACATGTGCATTCCGCCATCGCCATTCCCTCACCACCTCATCCCCCAACCATCACCCACCCCTCCAGCAGGGCGGAGACTGACGGGAAACCACATAGTATCCCACACCACCCTGCCTACACCACCCTGCCCACACCACCCTGCCTACACCACCCTGCCTACACCACCCTGCCCACACCACCCTGCCCACACCACCCTGCCCACACCATCCTGGCATCACCCCCCTCCCCCCGCTGCTCACCGGCAGCTTCGGCCTGGAAGGCGTCAGCAGCGCTGGCGTTGGCAAAGTCAAGCGCCAGTGGCGCAGGGGACGCGGGGGGCGTCAGATGCTCCACCGCCAGCTCCATGGCTGCGCACGTGGGGGGACAGTGGGTGTGGGGGGACAGTGGGTGGACGCGGGGGGGAAAGGAAGCGAGGGAAGGGGGTACTTGAGTCGACTCAAAACAACCATGGGGCGCGTCAGGTGCTCCACCGCCAGCTCCATGGCTGCGCGCACCGTGAAGGGGTGGTGGGGGGGCGGTGGGGGGACGGCGGGGGACGGTGGGGAGGGGAAGGGAGAGGAGGGCGCAGGGGATTCATTGGGAAGGAGGGTGGAAAATTTGAGTCGACTCAAAGGCACGAAGGGCGCTGGGTGCGTCAGATGCTCCACCGCCAGCTCCATGGCTCCGCGCACTATGGGGGAACGGTGGGGGACGTTGCGGGACGGTGGAGGGAAAGGAAGCGTGGGAAGGAGGTACTTAAGTCGACTCAAAATACAGCTGGAAGGCGTCAGGTGCTCCACCGCCAGTTCCATGACTGCGCGCAGTATGGGGGAGCGGGGGGGAAGGTGGAAAAATGGGGGATGGGGGAGGAGCGGGTGGTGTGGGGGCAGGGAGGAAGGGGGAATGGGGGAGGGGGAATGGCATGTGGTGAATTGGGGAAAGGGCCATTGTAGGTTCTCCCATCCCTGCGTCCCCATCGCAGAGGTTCTCCTATGAGGTAATGCGTCGGGTAAGTACATTCCACTGCCGCCACCATGATACGCAAGTCTCCCTTGTTCTTGTTGGCTCGACAAAGGAAGAGGCGTCTTTCACTCCGCACACGCGTCTTTCACTCCGCACACGCGTCTTTCACTCAGCACACGCGGCGCACGCACGGCAGCGCAATGGCTGGGCTCACACGTGTCGGGCGCGGCGCGGGACGCGAGCCGCCGTTACGCACCAGCTGTGACCAGGTCACCCGAGGGAGTGCCCGCGCTAACGAGACAGCCAATCACCAGCGGCGGCCGCCGATGCCGCTGTGGCTGCTGCAGCAGCGACGACCCATCCATGGCGATGGTAGCGTGCGTCGCGATCTGTCGCTCGGCTCTCCATTTGGACTCTAAATGAATACTCGCGTGCGGCGTCACGGGAGGATGGGAGTAGGCCGACGCGCGGAGCAGGAGCGGCGAGAGGAGCGTGAGGAGCGGGAGGAGCAGCAGCGGAGAGAGAGGAGAGGAGCGAGAGAGAGGAGGCTGTACTACTAATGGCGGACACTCTCGAGACGGCTCGCGACAGTGATTCTGCTCACGGTTGTCGCACCGAGATTCGCCGCATCGCGGCCTCCGACGCCATGGATGTCTAGGGTTGCTTATGCGCTGGTCTTGAGCCATAGCTGCAACTAGGAATCACACTCTCGTGCCGACATTATGTCGTATCACTGCAGCTAGTGATAGTTTGTGTCGCGGTTTCACATGTACGCTGAACGGTATCGTAGTGCTGCTGCTGTGGCTGCTTCGTGTACAGTACAGTATTGACGACTGGCGAGAGGTTGATGGAAGCAAAAAAGGGGCACAGAAGGCCAAAGGGCGTCAGGGTACCTCACCCTGCCAAGCCTGTTTGTTAGGCTTATGAATCAGGATCTAAAGCTAGTATTCCAGCAATGCTAGATTAGTTGATGTGATGAATCTGCGGAAACCACTATCCATAAGCAGAGTCTTTCAACGAGATGCATTGCAATTCAAAGAAACTATCTTTTGGGGGATCAACGGGCAAAAAGAAATTTGAATAAGGCACTTCACGCCGAACCTTGCAGTCCACGACGCTGACTGCCAGACTGAACAGTAAAAGCGCTACAGTACCATGTTTCAGGCCGTGGGACTGTACTAGTGTCACTGGGTGTGGCCAGATCAATGAGGGCGCGTTCGTTCCATCAAATTGGAGAAAGTTCATGTTTTTCGGGGCGAATACCTAAGTCGAATGAAATTCGACTTTCCTTGTAGCGAAGTTCGAGAATTGCGGGAATACACAGAAGATGCAATCACACAGGCAAGGTCGAACACCAGAACTCGAACCTGTATGTTACCCGGTACATGCTCGCCAACTCAAAATAATGCCACTTTAAGTTTCGCGATGCCGAAAACACACACGCTCACATGAACGTGCGCACGCCGTTCGCAACGCCAACTCGAGTCAAGCTCACTTTTCAAGTTCAAACTTTCAGAAGCCCTAAAATTGGCGATGCTCGTCAGCGCTCTTATCGAAATTCACGAAAAGGGTAACCACTTAAAGTTCGAACATATTTTCGAACTTGGCCACGGAATGAACGCGCCCTAACTTGGCCTTGGTTTCTATATGCTTCTAATTAGCACATGCCACCTAACAATATGCTGACTTCATACTCAGATGATTAAGGAGATTAGACTGGCCCTAAACATTCTGAACATTTTCAATGGCTTCAGTATCGTATAAGCAGGAAGAAAACTTTTCCTGGTTCAGTTATGCTTTGACTTGTACAAAAGAGCACAGATTAATGAATAACGACTCTTTGATCACATTGTTGTTATGAAAAAAAAAACATAACGTGGCATAATTAAAACATATCCGGACACACAGAGATGTGCATGCAATGCAAGGTCTTGGGGCGATGTGGGGGAGTCTCAATAGGGGAGGTATTCCTAAGTTGGGTTTGTACTAAATGGGTATAATTCTAGAAAGGATTGGTGAGAAATGTTATGAAGCTGCTAATACCGAAAGCCCTTCTTGAACCAGGCAATTTCGAACCTTGGGAACCCCTTGCGCCTCGAGCCTGCCGACAAGAGCAGGCCTGGTTCCCTGTGGGCCACCAGAGCACTTCAGCTTTCCCCGAAGGTAGCACCCAGCTTGGCTTCTGAAGAACCGCAGCTTCCGAACCAAAACGTCAGACATCCAACCAGTGATTGGCTTGCTGTGAGCTGTTCGTCCTAGTTCCTAGCGGAGGTTGCCCACAAAACAGAGGATTTGGATGTTCACCTGTTTGGGTCTGTTTCAAGCTAGACATTACCCACAGTTTTTGGAGAGACTCATAGTTTGCCCAAACATTAAGCATCTAGATTTACTTTGTTGAATTCTGAAGTTGTACACCAGGAACAAAGGTTGGGCGGGATTTGACACCCGACCCGAAGGCTAGAGCTGTGAGGCAGAGGGTCTGGCGGGGGGAGGGAGGAAAGGTGCCCTTCCCGCACTTTCCTAATCATGAAAAGGCTTTCCGATTTCGGGCACCTTGCGGCACCTAGAATGCGGGAAACCGCTCGTGAAATGTGGCCAAGTGCCCATTTTCCAACCCCTCCGCGAATCTGAGATGATGAGATCCAGGAGAGGAATGACACGCAGGGCTTGATCACAGATAGGAATCCAAGGGCTTCCCTTGTCTGCAAGGGTACCCAACCCAAGCACAGGAATCCAACGACCCGCAGCACTTGATTCGCTGGTGCTGGGGGGGTTCCACGGACGGTACTTACCTCCTGCATGAGGTAGGAGCCGCAGACCAGAATTTCCGTACTACTTCGCTGTCGACTCATCTAATATATTGCATTTCTGTCTCGCTCACGGCCTTCGGCTTCGGCCAGTTGGATCTTGACAGTTTGCATGAAACATCATCTGGAGTCGTCGGTACGAGATCGCGTCCAAAGAACGTGATCGAGGTTTAGTCCGACGAGATGGGAAGATTCTCCGCGTTTCTGGGGCTTGCGGCCGTAATTCTCGCTGTATTGTCGCTCTCCACGTTCTCGACCGAATGCGTTGGTCAAGATTCACGGTCAATTACTGGAATCGACGGCAGCAATGAGCTGGCAGATTCCGCATCTGTCGGCAGCCGTCGGATCTCGTCGGGCCAACGGTGGCTGTTAGCTGCTGCGGATGACGAGGAGGAGGCAGAAGGCGGGGATGACGAATCTGCCGGCGCGCGGGATAAGGATTCCGACGATAAGGCGGAATCTGCTGCATCGGAGGAGGAGGAGGAGAGCGAAGAAGAAGCTCCCGTAAAGAAGAAAACCGCCGTGAAAAGGGCACTGACTAAGACGAAATTGAAGAAGAAAGTCGAGATTGAAGAGGCGGGGGAAGAGGCAGATGAAGAGGCTGAGAAGCCAACTCCTGGAACAAAGAGGAAGAGCTCTTTGCTGAAAACGAAGAGGAAGAGCGAGGATGCGGATGAGGAGGAGACGGAGGCGGAAGAGAAGGGGGTGGAGGTCGGGACAGGTGGGGGTGGTGGGAGCCAAGAGACGGACGCGGAGGAGGAGGATTCGGCGGAGGAGGAGACGCCGAAGAAGAGCAAGGCGTTGAAGGTGACGGCGACGGGTGGGTTGAGTAAGAAGAAGCGCGGTGCTGCTGCTGCTGAGGAGGAGGAGGAGAAGGAGGAAGGTGGGGACGAGGGAGGAGAGGAAGAGGAAACCACAAGCGTGAAGTCGAAGAAGAGCGTCAAGAAACCCTCTGCTGCTGCTGCCGCTGCGGATGAGGAAGAGGAAGAGGAGAAGGATGGCGCGGTGGGTGGGAAGAAGGCCGGTGGGGATGAGACCGAGGCTGCTGATGCAGACGCTGACGCGGACGACGCGGAGACGGACGGAGATGCCGGTGGTGGCGCTAAGGCGAAGATTAGCAAGGTTGTCAAAACAAAGAGCAAGGCGGCGGCGGCGGAAGAGGAGGAGAGCACGGCGGACGAGGCAGGGGGAAACGAGGGAGCGGCGGAAGAGGCGGCGGAGGATGCTGCTGGCGGGAAAACAAAGGGCGGAGTGGGCAAGGAGTCGGAGGAGGGGTCTAGCGATGGTGGGGAGGAGGAAGAGGAGGAAGCGAGAGTGGTTAAAAAGACACCGAAGACTGCGAAAAAGGTGGTGGAGGAGGAAGAGGAAGGGGCGGCGGCTGCTGCTGGGGGCGAGGGGGAGGGAGAAGGAGAAGGAGAAGGAGAAGAAGTGGTAGAGGAAAAGGGAGTGGGAGGTGGAGAGGGAGTGGGCCGAGGCAGCGGATCTAAGGGTTCTGTGGGAAAGAAAGCGGTAGCGGAAGAGGAGGAGGAAGAGGCCAGTGGCGGTAAATCTGCCGGTGGTGAGGTGGAGGGTGAGGGAGAAGCGGCGGATAAGGTTGCTGACGATGGTGGCAGCGCTGCTGCCGGTGCTGGTGCAGCTGGTGCTGTTACGGACCAGGACGAGCAGAAGCAGCAGCAGGAGCAGCAGCAGGAGGAGCAGGAGGAGAAGCAGCAGGAGCAGAAGGCAGGCGGCGCCAAGGAAGAACCTCCAAAAACCCCAACCGCGGAGGAGCAGGAGGAGAAGCAGGAACCCGCGCCGGAGCAAGAAGCAGAGGCAGACGCGGAGTCCTTCCCTCCCTGCGACGCCGCCCTAACCGACTACACCCCATGCGAGGACGTCAAACGATCCCTCGCGTTCCCCGGAAAATGTACGAGTACCGAGAGAGGCACTGCCCGCCGCCGTCCAACGCGCTTTCCTGTCTTGTCTCCCCGCCTGTAGGCTACCGCAGCCCGCCGCAGTGGCCGGAGAGCCGTGACTGGGCGTGGTACGCGAACGTGCCGTACAAGCACCTGACGGAGGAGAAGGCGGGGCAGAACTGGGTGCGGTACGAGCAGCAGCAGCAGAAGTTTGTGTTTCCGGGCGGCGGGACGATGTTTCCCAAGGGCGCGGATGCGTATGTGAAGGGGCTGGGGAAGCTGATTGCGGACTTTGGGAACGGGTCTGTGCGCACCGTGGTGGACACTGGATGCGGGGTGAGTTGCGGGGTGGGGGAAGGGGTTTAAGGAGGGGAAAAGGGAGAGGGGGGATCGAGGGGAAGATTTTTGTGGTCGTTTTTGTATGGGGAAATGTGCGGTCTTGGTGGATTTTGCTGGATGGAATTAGTGCAGAGGGTTGGCGGATTTGGGAGGGAAATGGGTGTGAGGGAGAGCTGAGGAGAAAAGGAAGAGAAGGGAAGCGAAATTGGTTAGTTGTTGTTCCCTAATGGTCTTATGCTATCGTCCCCAATAGACCTCCTCTATCCACAACCCCTTTTTCTCTCTCCCCCATACTTCTCTTCTTGCTTCCTTAACCCGCCTCCCCCCTCTCTGTACCCAACTCCTTCCGCTCCATCTCCATGTCCCATCCTCTCCCTCCCAATTCCCCCTCTCCCTCCCTACACCTCTCCCCCCTCCCACTCTCCCTCCCAATACCCCTCCCCCTCTCTCTCCCAACACCTCTCCCCTCCGCCCTCCCAACACCCGTCTCCCTCTCCCTTCCCCACCCGCTCGCCTTCCCCGGCAGGTGGCGAGCTTCGGAGCGGCACTGCTGAGCCACAACATGGTGGCCATGTCGTTCGCCCCGCGCGACACGCACGAGGCGCAGGTGCAGTTCGCGCTGGAGCGCGGTGTGCCCGCCATGCTTGGCATCATGGCCACCAAGCGCCAGCCGTATCCGGCCAGGGCGTTCGATCTCGCGCATTGCTCCCGCTGCCTCATCCCGTGGTCCATTGAAGGTGGGCGGTGGGCGGGAGGGAGGGAGGAGGGATGGGGGATGGGAGGGAGGGATGGGGAATGGGTGAGTGAGGGAGGGAGGGTGGCAACAGTGAATGAATGGGGATGAGCGATGGACAGACAGACAGGCAGTGAGACGGATGGATATGGCTGCAAGCAACTCTGCAGGTGCAGTTCGCGCTGGAGCGCGGTGTGCCCGCCATGCTCGGCATCATGGCCACCAAGCGCCAGCCCTACCCCGCCCGCGCCTTCGACCTCGCGCACTGCTCGCGCTGCCTTATTCCGTGGTCCATTGAAGGTGGGCGGTGCTAGGGAGGAGGGGGGGGTGCGAGGGAGAGGGTGGAAGGGGAGAGGGAACGGGAGGGTGGAAGGAGGGGGGAGTGGGAGGGAGAGGTGGAAAAGGGGGGTGAGATGGAGGGAGGGAGGTGGAATGGGGGAGGGAGGGGGAAGAGAGGGAGGGGGAGGGGGGGGGAGGGAGGGAGGGTGGCAAACTTGGAAGGAGGAGGATGAGTGATGGACAAACATATGGACTTTTGGACAATCAGGAATGCAACTCTGTCGTCCGTTCTCCAGCCTTGCTTGCTCTCTTTCCCCTCCCGGCCCCTCCCCTCCTTTCCTCCCTCCGTTCTCTTTCCGTTCTATTCTCGCCTCTCCATCTTATCGGCATCCCCCCCACATTCACCAGCCCAGCAACCCACCTCAAACCTCCCCTCTTCACCGCTCCCCGCTCCCCACTCTCCTTCCCCACACTCCTCCTCCCCATGCGGGCATTAATCACTGTATCTCAGCTCAAACCCCCCCCCTTCACACCCCCTCCCTCTCCCACCTCCCATGCCCTTCCTCCCCTCCTCACCAGGCGGGCTGTACCTGATAGAAGTCGACCGACTCCTCCGCCCCGGCGGCTACTGGGTGCTGTCAGGCCCGCCGGTGGACTGGCAGCACCACAACAAGCACTGGGGCAAACCAGAATCCGAGATGCACGCACAAGAAGACGGCATCATCGCCGTCGCCACCGCGCTCTGCTGGCGAAAGGTCGGGCAGAAGGACGCCGTGGCCGTGTGGCAGAAGCGCGCGGATGACTCGTGCTTCGCTGGGAAGAAAGGCGAGGCGAGGAGGAGGAGGTTGCGGGAGCTCGTGGGGGAGGGGGCTGCACGGCGCGTGCTGGCAGGAGCGGGAGGAGGAGGAGGGGGGGTGGTGGATGGGGCAGTGGCGGATTTGCGGCTGGAGCTTTGTCCTGAGTCGGACAATCCCGATGACGCCTGGTATACCCCCATGAAGCGCTGTGTCTCCCGCGCCCCGCTCTCCTCCTCTGCTCCCCTCGCGCCCTGGCCCAAGCGCCTCGCTCAAGCCCCCCCGCGCATCAAGCGCGCCGCCGCCGCCGCCGCCGCCGCTGCCGCTGCTGACGGCGCCGCCGCGGCGAACAGTAAACCCCTCGTTAAGAGGTTTCTGAACAGCCTGCGCAGGTGGACGAAGCGCGTGGCGTGGTACAAGGAGGCAGTTCTGCCCGCCCTGGGCCAGGGCAGATACCGCAACATCATGGATATGAATGCTGGCATCGGGTCGTTCGCAGCTGCTCTTGCGGGGGACCCGGTGTGGGTGATGAACGTGGTTCCTGTGGAGACGCCCGCGGAGGTTGGGGAGCAGGCGCGGAAGGCAGGGAAGGGGGAGGATGGGGTGGGCGCGGCAGGGCTGCCAGGGTACCAGTGGAGGGTGTCTGCTAAGACTGAAGCTTTGGGACTGCCGCCGGGAGAGGCGCTGGGGGTTATCTATGAGAGAGGCCTGATTGGCACGTACCAGGACTGGTAAGTTATTTGGTTGGGTAAGGAGGCAGGGAAGGGGGAGGATGGGGTGGGCGCGGCGGGGCTGCCTGGGTACCAGTGGAGGGTGTCTGCTAAGACGGAGGCTCTGGGCTTGCCGCCGGGAGAGGCGCTGGGGGCTATCTATGAGCGAGGATTGATTGGCATGTACCAGGACTGGTAGGCCTTGTGGTTGGGGAAGGGAGGGCTGGGGAGTTGGGGGAGGGGGGGGAGGGGAGAAGGGGGCTGGTTTCTGGGATCTACCTTTCAGTTCTCTGTCTCTCTCTCTTTTTTTTTTTCGTGCATTCATTATCTTGCCTCTTGCATGTCTGTTCTTTCTTGCCGGGTTGACCCTGGCTACTTATCCCATGACACTGCTTTTTCCAGATGCGATGCGATGCGGCAGCTGAATAGCTGCTGTCATATCTCGTCACTCAGAAGCCTGTCAGTGCTGTACCTTCACGGCTGCTGCTCACCCCCTCCATTGCATGTCTCAAGTTTTCATTGGCTCTCCCCACCCTTCCTCTCTTGCTCTCTCGGCCCGTGTGAATTCCCTACCGCCGCCCCTGTGTGTCCAGGTGTGAGCCGTTCTCCACCTACCCCCGCACCTACGACCTCATCCATGCCGCGTGGCTCTTCTCTGCCCTCTCCAAAAGGTGAGAGCAGAAGGAAACAAGACGATCCACTTCAGCAATTCGTTTCATGCGGCACGGGGTGATTTTATGGATGGACTGTCAGGTGGGCTGCTTACTGATGGTGAGAGCCCCAACTCGACCCCACTAATGCATCATGATTCTCCTCCCTTGCACTTGTCACACACTTGAAGAACCTCAGCATCTGGCACAGGTCTATACACCTTGGTTCAATCCATCCATCCCCTGCTCCCTCGAAGTTCAACTCTCTCACTCCCTCTTTCTCCCGCCCTCCCACCAGGTGTGACGTGCAGGTGGTGCTGATGGAGATGGATGGTGTGCTCAGGCCAGAAGGAGCAGTCATCTTCCTTTGACCATTCACACATCCGTTCCACCTGTCAATGCCCCTATCCCTCTCCCTCTCTGTGTTCCTCTCCCCACCAACCCCCCCTCCAGGTGTGACGTGCAGGTGGTGCTGATGGAGATGGACCGGGTGCTCAGGCCAGAGGGGGCAGTCATCTTCCGCGACAGCCACGCCGTGCTCAAGCAGATCCAGCCCCTCGCCAAGCGCCTGCGCTTTCAGGCCAACTGCCCCAGGGGCAGCGGGCACATTCTCCCTACCTTATCACCATGACTCGCTCCACCCTTCCCAATTTCATCTCACCTGCCAATGCCTCTCTCCTTCTCCCTCCTTCTCCCTCCTCCCCCTCCCTCTCCCTCTCCCTCCCTTGTCTCCTTTCTTCCGGCCCACCCCACCCCCCACCAGGTGCGACGTCCAGGTGGTGTTGATGGAGATGGACAGGGTGCTCAGGCCAGAGGGGGCAGTCATCTTCCGTGACAGCCACGCGGTGCTCAAGCAGATCCAGCCCCTCGCCAAGCGCCTGCGCTGGGACGCGCGCTTCGAGGCCAACCGCCCCGGAGGCAGCGGGCGCATTCTCGTGTGCGTGAAGAAGTACTGGGTGGAAGGGTAGAGAGCGGTGGAGTGTGTGAGGCACAGGGGGGCAGCAGTGGCGTTCCTGTGTGCGTGAAGAAGTACTGGGTGGAAGGTAGAGTGGAGGGAGTGGTGTGTGTGGTTCGCAGCGGCCATCAGTGCTTGCTGCTGTCTACACGGCCTTGACTTCAGAGCAGCAGGCGCATTCTCGTGTGCGCAAAGAAGTACTGGGTGGAAGGGTAGAGCGTGGTGGAGTGGTGTGTGTGAGTCGCAGCGGCCGTAGGTGCTTGCTGCTGTCTACCTGTCCCTGAGTCGTGCTATGATGAGAGATTCCTGAGTGATGTTATAGCTGTGCTTGCAAGTGAGTTGCCAATAGTGAGAATGAGAATCGGTACAATGATGTGTTGTTTGTGTGGAGATGTTGTGATTTATGGTGACAATCGATTGTGCTGTGACGCCAAATTATATGACCAATCACCACAGGAATGTACGGTTACAGTACCACCAACCCACCCAACCTACAAATGAACTGGGGGATATGAAACATAGTACACAAATGTAGACAGCCTATTCCTAACAACCATCATGCATTTTTACCCACTCGCGTACCACGTTGCCACAGCACGCCGCAAAAAAGATCGCTCCAAGTGTGATGTAGAATGTACAAGGACACGAGGGTTTGGCTTGTGTTGTCACTCCAGATCATACCATGACACTGGCGGCAGCAGCAGATGGACTCATTAGCTGCGTTCGTGGCAGAGCTGTGAGTTTTGAGACGTTTGAAAAGAGGGACTAGATACCAGTATGCATGGCGGACTTGAGAATGATTTGGCTCATGAACGGCTTGACGGTGGTGGACGCCACGAAGCCAAAGTAGAACGCCTGCAGCTGTGCCTCCTCCCCTCCCCGCAGCACCTCACACAGCGACACCCGCCTCTCCAGCACCGGCTTCTCTGGCTTCCCTGCTGCCCTCACTGCCCCATTTGCGAGGAAGACCTGGATCGTGCCGGGATCGGCAGGCTGGTAGTCCACCCATGCCGTGTATGCCTGCTTGTTGGCCAGCGGGAATGGCGACTTCACAGCCGCGATTGATATGTCCTGCCCGTTGATGTTCAACCCCACGTGCTGATCTTTCATGTCGAGATGCTGGATGTTCTGAAGCATGTCAAACTCGATCGCCATGCTGCGGGGGTCCATCCCGCCGTACCCCACGCCATCGCTGCTCCCCACCGTGGTTGTTGCCGACACCACAAACGCAAACCCGTTGGAGGCCGCCTTGCCTTGAGGCGAAAGGGCAAAGGTGAAGTTGACGTTGAATCCCAACTCAAACCCGCACCCTTCATCCTCCCAGCCTTTCTCAAACACGAACAGGGTCACTGGCTCTTCTGCAAATGCCCCTGTGGTTTCCTTCCTCGTCCTCTTAGTGAGCACAGTTGCTGGCGGGAGAATGTTCCTGTCCAGTGGGGAGGTGAGATTCGAGCCTGCATAGGTGTGTGTGTGGAGGATGGGAAAAACGATGCCAGAAGAGGAAGGAAGGTTAGGATGAGGGGAGCAATAAGGGCTGGTGGAGTCACATAACATATGACCTACACATAACATATGACCTACACATAACATATGACATACACACAACATATGACCTACACATAACATATGACAGACATATAACATATGACATACACATAACATATGACAGACACATAACATATGACCTACATATAACATTTGACATACACATAACATATGACATAGACACAACGATATATGACAGCCGCTGACATCCATAAACCTTTGCACCCCTCTCTTTCCGCAAGGTAGTAGATGGTTCCATGTACCGTTGCACGGTGCACCCCTCACTCACCCTCCTCAAGGCAGTAGATGCTTCCAAACGGAACGAACCCCGTGTTGCACGAGCAGGTGGGCGCCAAGCTAGGCCCGTCGGGATAACACACCCCATGGCCACCACAAGCAGCACCACCAGCAACAGCATTGGAGCGCATGGAGATGCCACAGAACGCCCGGCACGCTGCCTCAGGCCGCTGCTCCGCCAACCAGGTGGTCCCCGCAGGTGAAGCCGTGAAG